GCTTCCTTGCAATGGATGGTTTGACTTGGATTGTAAGCAAGCGGGATGAGATCAGTTGACAAGTCTTTGGATTTCCAAAGTCGGCTTACCTTGACAAGGCTTTACAAAGACTTGGTGAAGTCTAAAAAAAGAGCTTTTTTTGAGGACGAAGCAAGAATCCTTGACAAAGGAGTTGATGGAGAATCCCAAATCCTTTTGGAGACGGTTAGCTGTAAGGTCTTCAAAACCTACTCTTGATCCCAAGAGTTTGATTGACTTTGCTGAAAAGCTTTATTTCTTTCCCAACGCTGCATCAATGCCTTGTTGTGAAGGAACATCAGGCTTATTTTCTGAATCAGAGGTGATGACTCAAGTTAGAAAATTAGCAAATGGTAAATCGGAGGATTTGGATGGTCTCTCTATTGAACTTTTGAAGTGGGGAGGAGATCTTATTGGACCGAGACTCACCAAAACGTTAGAGAATGCAGCTATGTATGGTTTTCCTTCAGCTTGGTCATTACGGAAGATTGTGCCTATTCACAAGTCAGGAAGGAAGGACTTGATGACAAACTATCGCACTATCATGGTGGGTAGTGTTTTTGCCAAGTTGTTTGGCAAATTGGTGGAGTCAAAGTTGAGCACATGGACTGAATCTCACCGAAAGAGAGCGCGGTTTCAAGCAGGCTTTTGCCCCACATACAACACCATTGACCATATCTTGGCTTTGCGTGTTTTATGGGAGAAGTCGAAGGGCAATGGCAAAGCTTTGTTTTGCGCCTTCATTGATTTTAAGAAAGCTTTTGACACCGTACCTCGTGAGCTATTATGGGAAAGGCTGCAAGTCATTGGAGTACCATCAGATCTTCTAGCAGCTGTGGCCACGCTTTACCAATCTGTTCGAGCCAAGATCAACACTTCTCAAACTGAAGAGGTTTTGAGTACCATTGGAGTGATTCAAGGTTGTCCTCTCTCTCCTACTCTATTTGGAGTTTTTATAGATGATATCGAAGAGTGGTTGGAGGCATGTGATAGTGAAGGTGTCAAGCTTGGAAACTTTGTTATCAAAGCTCTCTTGTATGCAGATGATATCATATTACTAGCACGTGATGCAATTAGTTTACAGAAACACCTATACACTTTGGCTAGCTTTTGTACCCAGAATCAGATGGAGGTAAATATAGAGAAGTCCAAAGTCATGATAGTGGGCACTAGATCCAAGTTTTCCTTCTATTACCAGGATCTACAATTAGAAGAGGTGAAGAGTTATAAATATCTAGGCATTGATTTTTCTAATGATTATAGTTGGGCACTTTGTGTGCAAAAGAGAGTAGAAGGTGGTTACAAAGCTCTATATTCATTGCTAAATCGGTGTAGAAGGGCTCATCTTGTGTCTTGGAGTCTTAGGAAATTTTTATTTAGAAGCTTAGTGTTGCCGGTAGTATTGTATGGAACCCAAGTGTGGGGTCCTGGTTGTAAGAAGACAGGATGGGAGCGTGTGGAGAGGGTGCAGAAGATATTTCTACAAGAAGAATTGGGTGTGAGAAACCAAACCTCATATGCTATTCTTCTTGCGGAAACAGGTTGTTTACCTCTAGAGGCTGAAGCTCTATACTTGACCATCACTTACATCACAAGGGTGAGATCTCTTGATGCTTCTCGCCTTCCTCCTCAGGCTTTGAGTGCCACACGTGCCAAAGGATGGTTAGCAGATGTGAGAACTTGGTCTTTGAGGTGGAATGTGACGGAACGCGATTGGGACCTACAACCTATAGCACTACGTGAACGTCTAAAGGAGGAGTTTCTGAACATTATTTGGAGCAAGCGCGGCACCAAGATGCAGTTTTATCAACTTCATGTGAATCCTATGCTTGTTTATTGTGAACAGGATTACCTACTTGCAGGAATCTCTACGTCCTTACGTCATATTATTGCTAGGCATAAAACTGGATCTCATAGGCTAGGAATTGAGGAAGGACGTTGGCTTAATATTGATAGGAGTCAACGTATTTGTAGGCTATGTGATGGAAGAGAAGTTGAGGATGAAGAGCATGTATTTCTTACTTGTACTAGATATGCAGAGATTAGAGTGACTCATAATATAGATGTAGAGAATTTTTATTCTTTGTTACAGTTAGTTCCTTTTGATTTAGGTTGTTATATTAGGGACATTATTAGTTATCGTTCTAGTGCTCTTGGCACTAGCTAGGGTTTGGCCTTTGGGGTCTTTTCCCTTGTTTGTGGCTGTCGCTTGTATTGTGTTTTTCAGCCTTTTAACCCTTTGGGTCCCCCGGGCTTGATCTATTACCATTTACCATTTACCATTTAGTATTTTTGCCAAGTTATTTCGCAAATTGGTGGAGTCAAAGTTGAGCATATGGGTTTAATCTTGCTAGAATAGAACGCGGTTCAAAGCTGGTTTTTGTCATACATTCAACACTATAAACTATATCTTGGTTTTGAGTGTTTTATGGGAGAAGTCCAAGGATAATGGAAAAGTTTTGTTTTGTGACTTCATTAATTTCAAGAAAGATTTTGACATAATATTTATTAAGCTTTTATGGGAAAGATTGCAAAACATTGTAGTACCATCATATTTCTTAGAAGCGATGGCCACATTATACCATTCCGTTCAAACCAAGATCAACGGTTCTCAAATCAAATAGATTTTGAGTATCATTGAAATTATTCAATGTAGTAATGTCTCTACTACTCTATTTACAATTTTCATAGATGACATAGAAAGGTGGTTAGAGTATTATGAAAGTGAAGGTGTCAAATTTGGAGGTTTAGTCATCAAAGCTCTTTTGTATGCAGATGATGTCATATTACTAGCACGTGATGTCATTAGTTTACAAAAACACCTTGTCACTTTGGCTAGCTTTTGTACTCAAAATTAGATGGAGTTCAATGTGAAGAAGTTAAAAGTCATTCTTGTGGGCACTAGATCCAAGCTTTCTCTCTCTTAGAAATGATTAGAGTTGGAACCAGTTATGAGCTTCAAATAATTAGGCATTGATTTCTCCCACGATTATAGTTGGGCACTTTGTGTGTGGAAGAGAGTAGAATCTAGTTTCAAATCTCAATATTCATTGCTAAATACATGTAGAGTAGCTCATCTAGTGTCTTGGAGTCTTAGTAAATTCTTATTCATAAGCATACTTTGTATTTATGTGATCGTGATAAATATTTATAGCTGTAATAAATTAATAAATGTTTTTTTTATAATTTCCTTATTATAATTTTTCATTTGATTGCTTAAAACCAAAAAAATTTGTATTTGTTTTTTATTTGAAAACTGTATTTTAAAAAAATTTGATCATAAAATTGAAAATGAATGAAAGAACATAAAAATATTAATTGAGATAATAATTACAAAACCTGCTAGATAAAAAATTTAAATATAAGTCAATAAAGTGGACAGTCTTGCTACTCGTAATAAACATCATTTCATAAATTACGTCAAAAATTTGAGTTATTTAAATTGAATTTTTTATTTGAATCTTTGAATCTTTCATTTGGTTACACTTTAAAATTTTTTTTTTATTTAGGTATATTGCACCAAACTTCATGTGCTAAGCGGTTTCATAATTTGAATAAAGATAAAGTAAATTTGTGTCTTTTTTATGATAATTTATATCACAAAGTAAGAATTGAAATGAATGTTAAATGATTACTTCAAAACAATACTTTGTTTAATTTCAATATTATCATAATAATATCTTATAAATTATTAATATAAATTAAATGATTGCAACAAAGCAAAATGTGTGTAACATCATTGTTGTGCATGCAAATAGATTATTTTCAAGTTATACTAAGCAAAAAGATATATCAAACAGACCTACAAATGAATGATTAAGGATGTCAAAATGAAATTAGAAAAAATTAAATCCAAACACACATATTAGTTAAAGTCAAAGCAATAAAATATTTCAAATTCATAATAATAATTTCACAAATTTTTTTAATAATAAAATAGCAAATATGAAATTTTAATAATTAAAATGAAAATAATGAAAAACTTGTGATTATTTTATATGAATTAATGTATGAAAACATATATCATGTGATTTAAATGAATAAAATTAGTTTTAAATAAATATAAATATATTTTAAAATCTTTCAATAATATAAAATTCAAGATAATTCAACATATTTCAGATGAAATAAATTTTTTATATTAAAATTTATTTTATTTTTCAAAAAATATCTACATTAAAAATTAAATTCAAAAAATGATATTAATGTTGTATCAAAGGTATGCAGAATTCTGCTTCAAAGCTAGCTAATCCAATTGTGAAATCATTTCTCCAACCAAAAGATAATTTTATGGTACAGAAGATGTTCAATGAATAGAAAGTCTAATTTATTAATTTGATGTCACCTTGAGTAAACATAAGGTTGTGAACGTCGACAACATTGTCTCTTTTACAACCAATCGTCATTAATAAACCACAGAGCGTTGACGTAGTATTGAGTTAATTGTAGAGTTGTTGCTAATAAAATAATGAGTTTGAAAGGAAAAATAGTTAGTGGAAATGAAGTTGCGGATACTAAAAAATTCTGAAAAATAAAGCATAGCGGTCCGACTGAAGTCTCCTTGTTTAGCATTCGAAGTCCGAGACTAAGGGGGGAAAATTCTAACTAAATACGATTATTTTTACTAAATTTAACTATTAAAATCTATAATTATCGAAATAGTTCTAGAAGTTATTAATAATTTCTTTTATTTTATTCCAAAGAAAATCTAAAATCTAGTAAGATAATTCTTTATTTGTGTTAATTTTGATTGATCTAATTAAATAGCGAGGTTCATCTTTCGAAAATTTACTTCCACGGAAAAATCTCACGCGTGAGAGTCATACTCTTGGTATGTAAAAAAACTGGTTATAGAGTCAACTAGCTAAAGATAGCTAGGACACCGCTAAGTGTGTATTCTACTCCATTCGCGTTTCTGAAAACTGTGAAGAAGTCGTAGTTTGGTGCTGAACTGTGAAACTGCGGATACTATCGAAACCTTGACGAACTCATAATTGTGAAACGCGATTTGTTCTCAAATTGATTTGATCCCTGCGGACCAGAGGAGAGAATGTCGAGCTGGTCGGGGTTTTGGTGTGATCAAGGGCAACCATCTGGTCGTGATGCTTGCACGGTTAGTTTAAAATTTGTGGGATATTGAGTGAACTCAGCAGTAGTAATTCGGTTTGTGATGGCGAAGCGAGATGTTCCTTGTTGCAGGCTGTGGTTGCCCCAACAGCTGTGCGTGCGACAGGATCAGAGGTTGGCGATTGTGGGGTGGATCAATGAAGGTGTTGAGATTTTAGATTTGGTGGTAGTCGGTGGAGTTACGACTTCTGAGGATTTCTATGCGGACGTGAAGATACTGCAGGTGCCTCGCTGCTGCGTTAAGAATTTGATTCATGCAGTTAAGAGAGAGTTCTCTTGTGAGTGGTCTCAAGGGTTTGTGGAATTTGTGAGGTTAAGGCATTCGTCACAGTTTGGAAAGCTGGGCTGCTTTTCTTGCAGAGAAGTCTGGACAATGCAGAGTCGAAGTTGCAAGCCGAGTTGCGAGCAGAGCAAAAGTTGCGTGTCATTGGAGAGTATCGCGTATGCGATGACCTTGGAAATGAAAAAGTTGGAAGTGCCCAGTCCCATGACTTAGATAGAGAATTATTAGAGAGCTTGGCTAGCATTCAACATGTGTATACTGCTTGGGCTCTGTTTTCGGATCACTTATCTGGCGGGGAAGGCAAGAAACTAGACTGGGTGCCCATGCTGTACCGAATCATCCGACATGACCGTTGCGTCGCCCTCCTCAGCACTCATGTATGAGAACGCGCAGTTAGTATCTTAATCCCCATGATGAATGTTCTAGAATTTTGTCATATTTAGATTCTTTTCTTTTCTTTTTTTGCCCATCCGGTATCCTATCGGCGTGAGAATGTTTTAGGAATGCGTCGGATTATATTTCACCTTTCTTGTTGGTTTTAGGTGGTCTCATCATTACGCAATGTGCCTACTTTGCAGATCATTGTCTACAATCAGCCTCAATTCGGTAGCCACCACCTGTCACATCTGCCATGGAATTTTCGGAGTAATATTGCAAATACTGGCACTCCTGTTGACCAAGTAGTCAAGCCGCCAGTGTGGATATCTACACTTGAGCAACAAAAAACGACACTGAAGGTGGTGAGTTTCTCTTTGTAAGTGGGTTCATACGGAACGGAGAACCAATTACTTTCTTTCTCCTATAGTCGTTTGTATGAACTTCGAGGTAAAATGGTCGCTTGTTTATCATAAACTGGCTCCGACCTTACTAATTCAGCTCTTTGGCAGATACTTAAGTAATGTTCATGCAGGAGATGATAATGCAGGAATTGAACTGCGCAAGATACATCAGTCAAACTGTGGAAGATGTCGCTGCGTCTGTTAAACTGGACGGGGAACGTGCTCCACGTTTTGCCAAGTGCAGTGCATCTGGCAGGATAGCGAGGTCAACTTTTGCTCCTGAAGCGAAGATGATGAATTGTGCTCCCTCCCTGGTCGTCTATTACAAAAATTTTAGTGACCGCACAATTCCAGTACTAGCTGATTGTTGATTATGTCTATCTAGAAACATAAGCTTCTGGGTGATATAGATCAATCTAATTTCCATCTGTATATCCAAAACTTACAGTTATTCGTCTGTAGCTGTAGTTTCGAACCGTGGAGACGGGTTTCACTTCTATTGTTAACTTTATGGGCAACTGCCCTCTACTGTCTTGCTCGCGTCTTCATCCCGATTCTATCAGTGTGGCTGCCAGCAGTTCCGCTTCTGAGAGATATGATGCGAAAGAGCATGCTTTTGCATATCCTGCGCATTCGGTGCCAGCAATTGATGGCATGGCCTTTTGTGCTCTTGTGGGGAGGCTTAGGGTAATTATTTAACTATTTAATGTGATTTAGTCATTCTCGAAACACCAATCTATTCACGCACATCAAAATGCATATATTGCCATAGTGGTGTTACTGCGGGTTTAGATTGTTCATTAGCTTAAACCATAGTCGAATTTTTTCATGTTCGCTGGACAGCCTTTATCATGGTCTTCATGTTGTACTCATCACACTCTTGGTGGTGATGCTTTGTGGTTGCAGGCCGGAACAACCGAATGTTGCCAAGGCGCACAGAATTGCAAAGGCCAAGCATTCTACATGGTTTAGTCTTCTCATCGATATGATAGCCGGAGCCATTGTGGGCTTTGTCTTGCTCTATTATCATTCTCCAATATTGAGCTTCTTGGTCGACTCTGGCAAAAGCCTTACGAATGATATTTTGCGCACCGGCTGCGTGTGGCTAATGGGAGTACCTGCAGGATTCAAGATCAATACCGAGCTTGCGGCGGTGTTTGGAACACTATCCCTGCACTGGATCCAGACTTGGTCAACCTTGCTCTTCACCGCAATCCCCGCAATCAAGATCCTTCTCTACGTCTTGAGTGTTAGCGGTATCATTCTGGGATTCACTGTCCTCGCCGCAATGGTTTCAGACATGGTCACGCTTGCAAGCATCCATGTTTTATCCCTTCATTACGCGATCGCCTTCATATACTCCAATCAACTACGGGCTTTGGCTGCTTTATTTCGTCTCTTCAGGTAGGATATTATTAACGGAACCTATTAACGGGTAGTATGCTTTTTTGTACTGTAATGAAGGTTTTTTTATCAGGGTTCTTCGAATCAGTAAAAGCAGTACAAGGTAAAGAATATAATGTTCTAAAGAATATCTGCTGAAAACCTGTTGCAGGGGTAGGAAGCGCAACGTTTTACGTGGCCGGCTGGATTCGTTTGACTGCAGTGTGGACCAGCTCCTTGTGGGCTCACTCATGTTTACTCCACTTCTACTCCTACTTCCTACTACGTCTGTGTTCTACACATTTTTTTCCATAATATTCTTGACCGTTTCCTCCTTACAGCTGATTGTTAACTACGTGATCTCCGTCCTCCTTTCCTTCCCATTCTTTGAAGTAGCCACATGGTTCCTTCATCCCAAGCAGTTCCCTTCAGGAGTGTGGATGCGTATAGTTCAGATAGAGAAGTCACAAAACTGGACTTCGTCAACCAGTGACATGCCTAGCGTTGGTAAAGGCTATCAAGGGGCTCATTGTAGCACTAGTATGAAAGAGGACAAGTCGAAGCCAGTGGTATCCGACTATACTTTTCATGGTATCGCGCATGCGGAGACGGAAGGTAGTCATTCTACTTCTAGGATTGGTCACTGTGGACAATCTGCCGAAAATTACAGCTCTGAAAGTACAGGAAGAGGGAAGAAAACGACTATCTTATTCATGCTGGAAATACGAACTGCTCGCTATGGTAACACTTCCTTGCATGAATCGTTAACTTCCTAGTCTTAGAGCTAAAGTTGAATCTTGCTTGCCCGCTAGCTAATTGAAACTTGGTAGCCCTGTATAAATGACCATCGCTTCTCGGCGGTTTAAAACAGGAGAGATACTAAGACCTTTTATCGCAACGCACTTTTTTGGAGTACAATGGCCTTCTGCAGCAGCGTTGGTGTACAAAGTTGTCAGTGGTGAGAGGTGAGCTCTAGTTGTCATTGAATTATGCTTTTGTTTCACTCACATTTCTGAAGTCAGTATGTGTAACTAGGTTAGTAAAAGTGGTGATTTTTTTTGTCACGTTCGGGATATATGTTGCCTAGTAAGCGATGTTGGATATGGATAGCACAGGAGATTAACATGTCATGCACACCAACTGTGCCAGGTTTAGTCAACCTCCATTTGTTGGCGTCGCCAAACTTCCTCATTCCTTGCTGAGCCCAAAAAGTTTTGCGAAACTCTGTTACACGTCTATGCGGAGATAGATGCTTTTCTTCTCATCATATGAACAGCCGTGGGAATATAGTCGCCGTAATGCGCCTCTGCCCTGAGCACCACTCCCAGGGGGAAAATGTAGCTCCTTTCCAAAATTGAACATGAATACCTTGACCTGGATAAGTAGTGCCGTTATTGAGATAAAGCAGAATGTTGCACCATACTAATCATCTAACAAGTGAAAGAGCTCTGCCACTTCCTGCTTAAGAGCAGTAAGCTTCTGTTGAATAGGTGCAACTTGACTGTCAATCTCCTTGTTACTCAACTTCTTCTCGTAGGCTTCCACAGTTACGGTGTGCTTTTGTCGCAACTTTTCTTGCTTCTCGCGCTCCTTTTGCATTGAAGTGTCAACCTCTGCAAGTACAGTTTATGCATGTTAGAACAGCAGGATCACATAAAAAAGAACATTTTGCCAGCTGTGCACACTTTAACAACGCCTTGCAAAATTCCATTTTACCTTCAAGTTTTTTACTTCAGGGTCTTCCTTAATATATTCCCTTAAAAGGAAGACCCTGAAGTAAAAAATTTGAAGTTAAAATGATCGATCCTCCAAGATCGAGTTCTCGGAGTCTGCCAATTCTTCACTGCAGTTATTTTATTGGGCTCTTCCTGATTACAGGCCCGGACTCCGGCAGACCGAGGTCTCCGAGTCTTCCACGTCATCGCCATTTGAGCTTGAGACTTGTTTGTAGAAACATAAAAAAATTTAAATAAGGGTGAGGAGGAGGAAATATAGTCTTAGAAGCGAAAAAAGTGACAAACTGAACCAACCAGAACCAAATAAAATACAACGAAATAAATCGACCCCCAACCGACGGATGGACTGACGCAGTGATCGCCTGCTGCACCCGAGCGAGCGAACCAACTCAGCTAACAACAAGACCACCATCACAAGAACAGCACCAACTAAGGAAGTCCGCCCGCGCAGCTATCCTTCCGTACGGGCATGGCGACGTACATCATCACCTGCACTAATTAGTAGAAGATGATGGTATTTCTGCCCCAGCCTCGCAACTGCAGCCACCCAGCCAAAATCTCAAACAATCTAATCTCAGAGTTAACTAATCTATTTACAAATATGTTTTGAAGAAAAAGCTCTGGTAGAAATAAAGGGCTCTTCGTGAATACTGGCGGCGGCGGACCGAGGTCTACTAGTCTTCCACGTCATCGTCAGTTTAGCTTTAAAAACATAAATAAAAAATGAAGGGTGAGGAGGAGGAAAGATAGTCTTAGAAACGAAAAACCTGACAAACAGAACCAAACAAAATACAACGAAACAAACTAACCCGACCGACGCAGATCTTGTTAAAGATCGGGAAATCCAAAAAGGTTGAAACAATAGAGGAATTATAACAAGTCAACACCGAGCAGGTGGACACAAAAGACTTAATCGACAGATTGATTTTCAACAAAATAAAAAATATATAACTGGAAAAATTATTTATATTTATATTTAATAAAGATTTTTCTTGTCTGTATTTTGATTTTTTTAATCCTCCAGGGTTTTTCTCTATTTCGATGGCTTTTTTTTAAGTATATTTGCGATGATTTACTTCAAATTTACCATTTACTTTAATATATTTTTTGATCCATTTTTTTCATAATGGGTTGATATTTGAAAATTTTACATTATTATTTTTGGAAGGAAAAAAATTTAAATAAATATATTTTAAAATGAGAAAAATTGGATAATAAAAAATTGTAGCAAATAAATTAATAAATTCATCAAAGTCTCCATAAGTTTGGTAATAAATTGAAAGTGCATAATATGTTGATTCAAAAGTTTATGCACTTTCAATTGGACGTATTGTAAGAATAAAAATTTTAAGTAAATGTCTCATATTCTTGTTTTTACATTAATTTCTAATTTTAGTACTCCTTCCCAGTTGGAAATTAACGTTCCAGTATATATAGAGACTCCATTATGATCTAATTCTGGATTATAATAAATTCCAGTACTTCGTAAAATTTGATTAATTATAACGCGAGCTACTCCATTGACAACAAAAATATCTTGAGAATTCATGAAATGAATACTTCCAAGAAAATTTATATATTTTGTATATTTCTTTTTTCTTTTGTGTTTATTGAGCTGGTACGTAAATGTCGGATGAATAGGTAATAGATTGATAGACAACATCTCTTTCTTTTAATAACGTTTCTGCTAATTGATATTGTTCACCAAATATTTGAAACTCGAATTCTTGATCTATATCTTCAGTTACTGGAAAATTACTAAGTTCTTCACTCAAACCTTGATTTATAAAACAATTAAATTCTTCAAACTGTATTTTACCAAATTCCAGGAGTGTAAAAATGTTCATATTTTTCTCTAAATTTTTATTGGAGTGTATTTTATTAATTATAAAAAATAAAAATAAATTTTTTCTAATAAAAAAATTTCAATATGCCTTGAATTTTAAAATAATACATTGTATTATATAATTAATTAAAATAAAGTCGACATGTCCAAGTGGTAAGGCAGAGGAAAACTAACTCATTCTATATAATAAATAAGTTATTTTAAATGTATTGAAATAAAACTTAACTTTAGAGTATATATAGTATATTATATACACTAAAAATTATATTAACATGATATAATGTGAAGATTTATACAGTGCTATGGATAATATATGTAAAAAAACATAAGTTTACCATATATTGTTTAATATGGTAAATTTATTAAAATTTAATATAAATTATGATTATACTTTATGTTTTTTATTACGACTAGTTAAGTTTGTACAATAAATACTTCACAAACGATTTGATATATATTGAATTAGAATAATAATTGCAAATTCTTAATAATTGCAAAAAATTAACTTATATCAATTGTATCTTCATTTTGTTCCACTTTAGATTACGTATTTATCATCACTTTTGTACTTGCCGTACCAGCAATTTATCACTGCGTTGAAACTCTTTGTATCTGATCTCAATATTTTAAGATTAATTCTAGTATTTCTTTTAAGTTTTGGCTTATCACAGCAAGCATTTTCTAACCTCTTTAGATTTCTTTCTAATATTTTTCTTCGCCTCTTTGGCACTCTTTGTCCTACTAGTAGTAGTCTGATATCTCGATTCATGCACACTTACTTCTTCGGCTATTTCAGCTAGTACTTGTATTACTACACAATAATATGTGAATCATGCCTAGATGACATTTATTTTGCGGTGATAAAAAACTAAATATTCCAAAAACTGGTGATATAACGTTGGTAAATATAGATTCAGAATAATGTGAAGATACTCCTAAAAAAAAATCTCTTGTGAACTTCAGGTAAAAAAAAATTTAATTGATAATAAAAACTTATACAAAGAGGTTCATAATAATGATAAAATACTAAAACAAAGTGACTCAAAGTGGTTATACAAACATGTAAGAAGTGACCTAAAGTGATCATTCATATCATGATATGAATCTCATTCAAATTTTTCTCATATGGTTTTTTTATAGATCATCATGATTCCAATATTTTATTTATATGGCATGGTCTAAACATCATCCACACAATCTTTTCACTCATCACAAACTCTCATTGATACTTCAAGATATATTTAAATCCAAATTATTTATTGAATCAAACAAATCCTCATGCAAGCATATTTCCAAATTTTCTCAATTCTTTAGTCTATTTCTTTATATGTATAATTTCAAGATGTATCATAATAACTTATGATAATGCTCATCTAACATTTCACTAAAATTAAACTTGATAATTTTTCATATGATTAATATCACGTGAGACACATCTTCTATAAGCTTCCTTGTCCCTAAGTTGAAATTACAAACTATTATTGGTAGCCTTGAAACTTTTGGATGCTTTCCTAGCAAATAAGTCAAACTCCAATATAATCTATCTAATCAAAATTCTTATAACTTAGTAAAACTAATCAAAATCAACATTTAGTTGAAAAAATTGTACTAAATTTAATACTTTTAAGCTATTATATGATCTAATGCTATGTTTTTATTTGTACAAATATTTTTATAATATTTATTTTGTAGCAATTTTTAATATTTTTATGCTTGCTAGTCTAAATACATTCTTTCAATCAAGTGCAATTTTATGTTTACCACATTATATCAATACTTGCTTATAAATGTAAATTTAATCTTTATTAGTTATTATATAATCTTTTTTCATCATTTTTGCTAAAATAAGATTTTGGTCTCTAGTTTATGTTATGGTATAATTTATTTAGTATGAAAATTTATTTATACTTTGTATCATTTAAATTTATTTTCTATTAATAAGAAATTAATTAATTATACCATTTAAACCTTGTATATTATGTATGCATGAATAATGCAACCAATTGTGCTGAAGTCAATCATTGACTGAAAATCTATAATTTTTTTTTCAATTCTTAAAAACTCTGTTATTAATATTGAAAAGCATCAAGAAGCATATGTAACCATTTGAAAATAGATTTAAGCTTTCGGGCCAATTTCTTTTGAAACATGGAATTTAACCAAGTCTTTTTGAGGAGATTGTACGCTATCAACAAGACGAACACAAGGTATTCAAAAAACAAAAGTACATCACTTGGAATCAATAAATATATGTAACTACCTCATTTTTTATCAATACTTTATCACCATTTTTAATCAATTTGTTAATCACATTGTATAATTTTTTATTTCATTTAATTTATATCACTTATCAAACACTTTGTAAACATATTTGTTTTATCAGATTGTATCAATCTTTGTATCAACAACTTTTAATATATATTTTTTTGAGATAAAATATTCTTTTCAAACGTTTTTCCTAACGTTTTCATTACGTTTTTGTGAACGCAGCCTCATTGAAATAAATATTTAAGTATTTTTGACAAGATTGTTGGTTTTGCGTATATCTTCGTATTGGATTGTTGCAACCAAAATCAACCATATTATAAATTTTTTTTACTAATTTTTAGAAAGCTTCTTTGTCTAAACATATGCTTATGTTTTACGTTATTTCAATCATAAAGTGAAATTTTGGTATGAAATTTATGTATAAAATAAAATTTAAATGCTAGAACTCTTTTATAAAAAATAGGTTATATGTCTTCTTGTAAGTGAGATATATAATGATCATAATTGCTATATTAATTGATTCAAAATTTGATATATATATACCTTATCTTAGTGGTCTATAGAAGATATCAACACTATATAGTCTTTTCTGATTACAAAATTCACATTCTAACGACATTATGAGTAACTGTATTATATCTGAGAATAGTTAAAGATATTTGAACATGTGTTACATCTAAATTAATATCACATGAACGATAAAGATGTACAGAGAATGAGAATAGGAAAAACTTAGATGTGGATGTACGAATGAAGTCAAGATGTAAATTTAGTTATAATAGCAAAGTAACTAGTGAATGTAAAAACTCTATAATGCATAATAAAATCAAGATCCCATTTGCTGAGCAAACATACAAATGAGTTCCGTTATTATACAAAATGGCTGGATTTGAAAAATGAATGCATCGCGGAGGACTAATTATTCACAAACTTAATTGATTTTTAAGACTTAATTTCAAAGATATGAAACAAGTCAATTGTTATTCCACAAAACCTCAAAGTGTATATAAGTATCATGTGATGTAATTTCTTTGCGTAGAATAATTACAAATAAAGTTAAGAGATAACGATAGAACATGCGTTAGACCGAGATTCAATTTCTCACAAACATGTGGAATTGTCTAACGTTTGGAAATTGAGTAATAATGATATGAAATAAGTATTGGTTTACTTGCATAACCCCATTGAGAAGTTAGTGTACGAAGAAAGCGTGGTGAAATGTTACTTGGAGTCAAGTGATGTGGCGTGAGAGACAATAGGTGAAAGGAGATACCTCTTCAAGCGGAAAAAGGAGAACTTGGAACATCTTGAAAGCAGGATGTTGAACGCGAGGTGAGAGACGAATTCATCATCCGACACTTGTTCTTGTCGACAGTGTGTGGCAGCGTAGCAGCCAGCAAGCAGCTATTGGGGTATGTCGAGAGAAAGCGGCTTCTGGCATGTGTCGCCCACACCGGAGATGAATGACAATGTCGCAGGCCACGCAGTCAGTTTCTGGGAGATGAGAAAAGGATGGAAAGCCAGAAATTTTGGAGTGTTCATTGCTCCCATTCTTTCTGACACGATATTTAAAGGATCATTCTGGCCCTCCGAATTCGGCGTGGGATTCAAGGGAGAATCCTCCTAGTGTTCACAATTCAATCCATCGTTCAGGACCTGCCTGCTTCTCTGGATTCTGGGATTCGAAAATTTCGTCGAGGAGGAGTGCTGCGTGGGATTCTTTGATGCAAATTGTAGCGAAGATTCTGTTGGAGAAGTTACTACTTTCGGAATGCAATCTCAGTGTTTTGTGTTGCTCGAGCCCAATTGCATCCGAACGGTGGAGAGGACGCGGAGCACAAGCCAAGCCGGAGATTGTGGGGTCTCCTTTGTATCGGAGACTTGTTTATCAGCCGGAAGTACTAGGTATGGGAGTTTCAAACATTCCAAATTTCACCTGTCGGATTCCTGGATGCAGCATCCTCTCTTGTGTTCCTCGAATTTGACACCAACTAGCCAATCTCTGCGGTGGAATCCGATGGGATTGTGCGTAGGTTCCAGTTCTCTTCTGGCCTGCTCGTCTTCTATAGCTTTTCGAGACCACAGCCTGCTTGTGTTAGGTGCGTCTGCCTCCTTGCAGTTAACCTTATTTTGTTTACGTACTGAGAATTCCTACCCTTCTCCCGCACCTCCTAGAAGACAATCCTTACGACTAGTGCAGCAGCCTAGAGAGCAGTCTTCATTTCCCCCCGAAGCCCTTGCCAAGTCGACAATTATCACATCTGGCGACGAAGATTATGATAGTATTGAGGAAAGGCTTTTGAGAGCATTAAAAGAAAGGAGAACAGAGGATGCTTGGCAGTTGCACCAGGTTTTGCGGAGGGGAGGGATTTTACCTTCGCAAACGTGCTGTAGTAGGTTGATTGCTCAACTGTCTCACAAAGGCACCCCTTCCAGCCTTTCACGAGCTCAAAAGATGTTAGTCGATCTGCAATCGGTAAACAAGGTTTCTCTTCTAGATGCCGATGCCATGGGATTGCTGGTCATGGCATCTGCTCGCGCAGGAGCTGCACGATATGCTCTCAGCATCACAAGGGTGATGCTTCAAATGGGATTCCTTCCGCCCGTAAAAGTTTGGAGTGCTGTTGTTAGTCGTCTTGGAAAGCACCCGTATGACGCCACTTTGGCTCTCGAATTGTTCGATGAAATATGTGACCTGACTGCATTAGAGGTGGAGAGTGGTAACGAGAGTAGCGAAGGAAATTCTGACTTGGATGTTGTATCATCGAATTTTGTGAATGGGCGAAGAATTGTAACTCAGGACCCAGTAGGTATTAGACCAGACACCGGTGCATTCAACGCCGTTCTAAATGCCTGCGCAACAGGGGCACTGGCAAAGAAGGCGGAAGAATATGTGGAGCGTATGGCGGAATTTGGAGTTCGGCCGGATGTTCTGACTTTTAATATTCTAATAAAACTTTTTGCCAAGACAGGGGAAGCTAACCAGCTGCTGAACATTCTTGAGCAAATGGAGGAACATTCGATCGAACCTGACATATCCACCTTAAATTCACTAGTCTCTGCGTACACGGCCCTCGGCCATTTAGACGAGGCTGAGCGATTAGTTCACTCCATGCAGCAAGCAGCAGGTCAAACACGAAATTCAAACAATAGTGGGGACTGTGCAAGCCAGCTGGAAGAGCATCGTGTTGTCGGCAAGGTGTCCCCGTGGGTAGAGAGAATTACTAGGGTATACGAGGGAGCAGAGGAAGTTGAAAAGACAGGTAAGGGAAGTAGGTCACTTCAAGCTAGGTGGAAAAATATTGTGAAGCCTGACGTACGCACATACACGACATTGATGAACGGGTACGTGAAGAAAGGTAGAATGAAAGATGCTGTTCAGCTTCTCATTGCTATGCGGAATGAGGAAGATGCCAGGAGCCACCCTAACGAAGTAACTTACACCACTGTAATTGGAGCTTGCGTCAGCTTGGGACTCATGGACGAAGCAAGGAGTGTTTTACTTGAAATGGCAGTTCAAAAGGTACCTGCAAATCTTGTGACTTACAATACCTTGCTGAAGGGGTATTGCAGGGCGGGGCAGCTTTCTAAGGCCTATGAACTGATGAAAGACATGAAAGTAGCAGGTCTTTCACCAGACGTGGTGTCCTACAATACCCTGATAAACGGTTGCATCCGAAGGGATGACAATGTTGATGCCCTGGAAGTATTTCGAGAGATGAGGAGTGCGGGCATTGCTCCATCTGAGGTTAGTTACACGACTCTCATGAATGCTTTTGCAAGAAATGGACAGCCAAAACTGGTGGCGGAGGTCTTCGAGGAGATGAAGCAGGATCCGTGGATGCGAGTCGATGTAATCGCCTGGAACGTTCTGATCGACGGGTATTGTAGGGCTGGGATGATGGATGAGGCCAAAGATAACTTCACTGAGATGAAGGAGCAAGGGTTCCATCCTACTGTGGCAACTTATGGGAGTCTGGTGAAGGGGTACGCATCAGCCGGTCAGGCTGGTGAAGCTTTAGTCATATGGAAAGAGATTCAAGAAAGAGTATTGGCCAAGAAAGGGGATGAAGTTCAGCCACTTGAGCCAGATGGAGGGCTCTTTGACTGTCTAGTGGACACATGTGTTAGAGCGGGGTATTTTCAAAGAGCTCTGGAAGTGGTTGCTTGCATGGAGCAGCAAGGCATTTTAGCTGATAAGGTCAAGTACAAACGCATGTTCATTGAGCTGTATTCTAACTTGTACACGAGCCAACATGCATCAGCTAAGAGGCGAGCAAAATCTGCAGACAAGCGGAAAGCCGTCGATGCATTTAAATTTTGGCTGGGACTCCCAAATCAGTACTACCAAACTGATTGGACGCCATAATGCCGTACGAAGGGTAAAGATCATCAACTGATCTTAGCCGCTACCCTGTAGAAGTCCTTGTTCAGGGTTGTGAACCTTCTGGGCTATACGCCGAGATTTTTGAAACCTATTCCAGACGTTCATGAAGCAGGACCTGGTAAGTCTTCCAGTTCTCTGTGTCTGATCTGAATTGATAACTCTACTTTTATCACCAGGAAGACATTTTATAATATTTAGGAAAGAGTAGGTTGAGTTGTTGGGGAATTTCAAATCCCAGTAAGTTAATGTCAGAAATAACAGAAGTCATTTCCTGTCTTTGTACGTGTCGAGGGCATCGCCGAATTATACTTGTTAACTGGAGGATCCTTTGCACCGGTGAGAATAGCTGTAATATTATCAGTGTACTCTCTGAAGTACAGATTTCTAAGTGATGTTGTTTTTGTGTATGTTAGAGCGATGGTGAAGACGGAAGGAATGTTGGAGAAACTTGCTATCGAGAGTATTTGGTTACATGTGATCTTGACATTGCACAGTGGGAGGTGAGACCTTTGAACTTTTGAAGCCAACAGTTTAGTTCCTTGTTTCTCTGTCATTGTCTTGTGGTTTCAGTCATTTCATGTTGTGACTCGTATGAAACGTGATTCGTTGGTGTGTAGATCGCATCTGTGGTGAAAACTGTTTTTGGCTTTCAAGAAAGTCCAGATTTCTATTTTTCCAACCTCCGACTTCGATCCATCTTTCCTAACGGTCACCCGGACGTACGGTTCTAATTCTGTACCCAATCTCCTCGTAAGAATCAGGAATTCCTCCGACGAACACTCTTGATTTTGTGAATATTTTTTTCATAATGTCTACACAATTCTCTGAGCTATGATCTACATTTTCCAGGATTTCGTTGAAAAGGACACCGGGATCCGTCCGTCTTTTTGCTCTCTACCAGTAGCTGTCTGCTGTCTGTGCCTTTGGGAGGAGAAAGGCGTTGATGTGAATACGGGCTGCTTGGATATTCTAGGCGCTCAGTTATACGGCCTTTTAAATTGATGGCCTGTTGGGCCTTTTAGAATTGCCACAAGGCAAGTAAGTTCAACAAAATTGTAATTATAGAGCAGATGTCACTATTGCCGGGACATGCCTCGAAATTCAACATGTTGACGTTAACACCCGGTGTTACCGTTAAGCAGTCCCCGCATACTTCGTAGGATGCAGAGGTATATTCTGTAGTCTTTCACGATGTGAACAGGGTTGTCAGCTTGACGGTGTCTAAAATTAGTGCGATCAAGCATGACAACTAGATTTGCTCGGTGACCCTGTCTGTGACACTAGCAAGTCAATTCTTCATGTCCTCTATAAGCTCCTTCAGATCAGGATTAGGGTCTTTCATTATTTCCGTAGCATCCTAGTCAGGCATAGAAAGAGCCTACTTCGCTAATTCATTTATCTCCTCGGCCAGTGGTCCCATGAATAGACCATGCTCTTTTTTGATAAGGAATTTCTTAAGATGGACAGCATCATGAGCTGGAAAGACTAACAGTGCAACAACTTCGTTAATCTTGTGATTAGTTCCTGGCCAACTCGACGACTGAGCACATGTTTATTTTGCGCAGCTAATAACCAGCTGCGCAACTGACCTTTTAGATGTTGTAAGATATCTGTTATCAAGAGCAACGTATGAATGATACGAAGGAATATCGTTTTCACTTGCGTAATAGCCTTACATATGTATTCTTCCACCTGGGTGGTTAAAAGTAAATGAATTTACGAAATGGACTTCGTTTGACCCCAAGCAGTGTTTGGTTGCAAATCTCGTTTGGGATGAAGGCAACTGTTGTCAGTTAACAGTTAAATAACTATCTTGGTGACTACAATCTATTCCGTCAGGAGATTAACCCTCTCCAATTCAGTGCACCATTTCGTGAGCAAAGCTCCTCCTCAGGGAGAGAACCTTCCTCGCGTGTGAGTCTGAGACTGTGAGTTCCATGAAGAAGATGCAGGTTTGTCTCGACCGTCATGGCAACATGAAACATCACTCCAATTTCAAGCTCCATCCTTGTATCCAAGTTTGCACGACACCTGGTGTGTGACAATGGCTCATCTACGTCACACTTATTGCTGTCTATCTTGAACGTACTCAAATTTCCCTGCAGTCAACACTGTGCTAGAAAGTGCAAGAGATGGATGCTTTGTCTTGTATCCCCTCGCTGCAGTTGCCGTGTGCAACTGGAGTAAGCACATGTTACGTGCCAGATGAAGTCTTCTCGCATAGATGATTTGTCCTTCGTCTCCTACTAACCTGGCCTCCCAACCACTACATGTTTCCAGTGGGTCTCCGGGTTCGGCAGTGGTTGCGGCTACAGCTGTACACGAATTCGACACAGCACTCTTCCGGTCCGATGTTGTAGAGATCAACAACATCTCTGCAATGTTTCTCTCTACGGGAAGGGAATCACACGAAGGTATTGCATTCGCCATCACATCTCACGAGGAAACTCTACGTTAAGAGTTTCGACTAAATTTTCAACGAAATGCACGATAGTAATAACCTCAGCAGAGATGATTCTTTGCTGTGCCTTCGCGAGAAGCGTTTGTTATTTTCACCAAGACCCACTCCCCCACACAGTTCGTTTCATCTTGTCTTTCCAACGCTTTATTTTTTGCCAAAAGCTCGCTCTTGAGTAGAGATTATATCGAAAGCCTGTTACATAGTGCGTCGTGTTACACACTTCTCATGATTGGTTTTCTTCAGCGGCAAAGCCTTCGGAGAAAAGCGACTAACGTTCACCCGCGCATTACGGCGTTAAATTTCAAAATCGACTTAACGCGACGAGGAAGTTTTTAATCTGCCCTGCTCTCGTGGCAAAGCAAACTTCCACGACGAACGAAAATACAGCAACGTTTTCAACCTGTGTATTTTTGTCAAAACGTTCAGAGGTGTTTGCTACTGCACAAAAAGTCAATGTTTCATATGAAGGTTGCCTTGGTATGCATGGGTTTATACGCGTTAACGACAAACATATATCTAATTGGAAAGTACTAGTACTATCTAAATTATACGAGGAAGCGAATGATAACTAACCGCTTCCTCATTCACTCAAGGGTAGATGTAGGGTAATATGTTCATGGTATGAATAATAATCAAGGTAGGGTTTTGGGTGTTGACCAATCAAAGAAGAGACTCGAGTAGAATGAAATCTAATTCGCCCTAAGTGAAATATAACTAGTGTTCCCTTGTATGAACAGATGTGAAGAGAGATGTCCGAATGCATGTAAAGTCAATTTCAGCAAACAAGGCATGAGACTGAGGTGAATGAAGCAAGTTGAGGATGAAGAGTATGTATTTTTTAGTCTCGTAAAGTTGTTGAGAATTTTTATTCTTTGCTTTAACTTTATGATTTAGGGTGTTATTAGTTACTGTTCTAATGCTTTGGGCATTACTTAGTGGCTCTCTTCTAGGTTGGCGTTACATGGTTTGTATTGTGTTTTTCAGTTTTTTGACCCTTTGGGTCCCACGGATTTGATCTATTTACCAATTACCATAGGACAAACAACCTGATTGTCATTGACAAGATTCTCTTGAGATCCATGTGACTGACCCTTACATGTTTTTAATATGGCACTACTTAGAAAGGGACGACGCTCGGGGATAATATGTCTCTGTTGAGGTATACACCAACATATCTATTGCCTGCCCAAACTTCCTACTTCCTAATGTTGAGTATATCTGGTAGCATATAAACCATGACAATAGTGCTATAAATTAGGTCTTTTATGTCAAGTACTTTTTCACATCTCCTAAAGGTTTATGTTAACTACAAAAATCGTTTTACATCCTCAAATTTCTATGATGTTGTTCAAGCTTTGAATATAATCAGGGGAAAGAAAGGAAAAAACTTGAATTAAAAATTAAAAAATATTTTTATTTCAGTGGATGTAAGAACGATCAACCAGAACCCCCACAGATCAAAAAAGTTATTAATCTTTCTCTAAACAAGTTCCCATATTGTTGAATTTAGAATTCAATAGAATTAAACTTGAAAAATAAAATAAAGTCGGAAAAAAATGGCGGTCCTCCTAACCTACTCCAATATCCTTTGTCCATCCAAGAAAGGAAATGCTATGCACTATATCTTGCATGCTATGCAAGAAATATGAGCATAGTACAACCATATAAATTTTCCAAAATCGAAATATGTATCAAATCAGTCATAGGAATATAGAAAAAGATAAGAACGAAGCTGGATATTTTGTGTTTTTCGAAACCTATCTACTTCATACATGGATTCTAAGCGAACGCCTAGCGCAAGCATGAGAAGACATACAAATTTATGAGAAATATTAACGAATTATCATGAATGTCCTTTGATTTGTAAACTCGTCGATATTCTTTCTTGTAAGTCTACAAAGAAGTTACTTCTCTTCGATCTTCCTTGCCCGGAAGTAGCATTTGTTTTGTGTGTTTTCACAAGAGGCCTTTTCTCCAATGAGACTCGAATCTGTCTCCTCTTCCCTACTCTGGAAGAAGAGACAAGATACCATCGGCTGATTAGAAACGATTGGAATTCGACAGTTACTTTAACTTCTGAAGGTGACGAGATTGTACTCCTGGATTGATTGAAAAGCATGGCCACGTGCGAGAAGGACACCATGCATATTCTTGACCTGCGCGAATTTGCAGTTTGTACCATTTGATTTGACCTACACATCATAAGAGCAACTCCCATGTTACTTGTCCCAAAACTTTCCCAAATCTTTGGGAAAGTTCATCACCAAACTCATGTATGTTTCTGACCTCAACGTATGGGCTTTGGGTACCCACATGAACGTGTTCAATGAACACGTTCATGTGATGTTAGGCTTTGAGTTACAGTAAATGCTTTCATAGTTATTGACTCCCTGGTACTCAATACCAACTCATTTTTATCCATCGTACCTTTAGTTGCAAATACTGCCTCATGCCCCTGGGTATTACAGTGGACTTATTCAGCTTGTCGCCAGTCTTTGTTATATCGTACTCTATATTGTACTGAATTAAAGAATTATCACATCTTTAAGACTGTATGCAATGATGGGTCAGTCAATCATGTCAGGGTCAATCATGTGATTTTTTAGAAACCAATAACATGCGGACTTTGGAAGAGCAACTGAAGATAACTCCCTCACTCATCTCATTTGATCCCTTCTCTTCCTTCCTTGAATTGAGTCTACAGCAGAAAGCAATTACGTTGAAAAGAGATATGATGTTTTAATGGAGATGATGGAACATGGTGAATCTGTCCTTTCGGAAATGATCCCTAGTCTGAGTTGATGCGGATAATAAAACTTTAGACCTAAGAAGAGATCGGAGAGAAATTTATATTAATCTTCACGTCATGCTCCCAACGCACTTAATCCATTTCGTTTAGGTTTCTAATAAACAACAGGAGAGCAAAAGTGTGGTCATGGATTTAACCAGTTATAATCACCTCTAAATGGTAAATACATCAAGCCCCGAGGGACCCATTCAAACATTCTTAACTCCAAACAAGGAGAGAGACAAAAGAACATTCTAGCTAGTGTCAATACAATACACTATGTACAGAAAGACGTTGATAATCACATGTAACCTGTACTAACCCGGACAAGTTGTATACGTTTTCAAGTTTAAGTGAATTGGACACACATTCAATCCGCAGCAATGTTATAGTATTTCATTGTGCGACCAATATAAGTATAAATAAACATCTATAATGTCAAAGTAGGTTGCCACATATTCATACTTGTTGGTTATCCTATTTTGCACCTCCTTACACTACCAAAACAATAATGAAAAAAATCTCTATTACACTGGATTATCCGTGGATTTGCATTGATTTATTCTACAATTGTTAAGTGGATTTGTAAATTTGAAATATTGAAAACATTCAAAATATATCATCTTGAAATACATACTTTTAACATTTTGCTTATAATTATATCTCAAGAATCAATGGAAATAAGATGTTCATAGCACGAAGAATGAAAGACACTATGCGACTTTAGTTGAGGGAGAAATGGTAAATCATAGATTGATAAATCAGACGATCCACAAGTTGTTAAGGTTAACTCTGGTGAAGTAGTAACCTCAAGATCTAGTTATTATAGCTAGGTTGGTCGGTTGGATATATATATTCCAAGGTTTTTGCACTATATCACTCTTGTTTTTCACATAGTAAACTCATTCACGTGTACTTTTCACTTGGACATAGTTTTTTGAAGGTTGAACCACGTTACACGCTGCGTTTCAGAAGTTGGATGTTGTGTTCGTTGAACTTACTCACTGTTGATGATTCTTGGTTTTAATCCTGATAAATGATATCAAAGCCGGTTGCGTTTTGTGATAGTGTGAGTCTATTTTTGTATTGCTTGAGTTGAAGATGAAATCTGCTGACGGTCTTTTGCCGGTGACGTTTTTCTTGATGTTCGAATGATAGTTTTCCTGAGAAATCTTGATATCAACATGTGGAAGATGGATTCAACGGGATTCTTTCAAAAAAGAGTGAAAATTGTTTTGAGCAAAACTTCAAATATCAAA